TATTCCCTTTTCCTTTTTGTTTTTTTTTATTCTCCAATAATTTTCTCATATCAACGTATACAAAACGAATATATGAGGGAGCCTTTATTTTTTTTCTGTATTTCAATGTAGTTGATTTTATTTTACATTTTTTTTAGGGATAATAGAAAAAAAATAAGAAGAAAAGACAAAAAAAAAACACAATATTTCTACTTTTCTCAATAAGTAGGAATAAATACAAAAAAAAAGAGAAGAAAATCACTGATTTTTTGCCATTATTTTTAAATAAAAACGAGAAAATAGAATAATAGAGAGTTGTGATAGAGAAAAAAAAAATTGTATACATGTGCGTATGTATGTTTGCTGTTAGCCGTATGGGGTAACTATTATGTATGTAAAAAAAAAATCGTTTTAGAGACTAGAAAAAATTTACAAATCAAATGAGAAAAAAATTTTTTTTTTAGATTGAAACTAAATGAATGTAAAAAATATTTTTTTCGTGACAAAAGTACCCACATTCGATTTCTGCTTTTTACTCTCGTATTATGTATCCTTCTAATATTTCCTAAATTTTTATAGAGCTAGATTCCAATCTTTTCCAGTCTTTTTATAGAGCTAGATTAATATATGGGAACATAATCAAGTCAAATTTGATGAGCTAATTCTGATTTAATTGAGTCTAGTTCTAAGTTAAAAATGCATCAGCAGCAGTCTATTTTTTGTTACTGTAAAATATACTAATGCAAAAAAATCTGTCTTCAGTTTTCCGAATGTTAAAATTTCGCAGTTTTCCGGACGCTCTGAAGAAACACAAAATTTACAGCATAAAAAAAATTAAAATTATCGTACTCTGCTACAATGTTTTTTATTTTTTTGTAACATTTGCCACGATTGTTTATAATAACATGTTGCAAACATATTTATATACATATGGAAAAGAAGTTATACTTGAACAACTTAATTCTTGTTATTTACTAAATTTTGGTTTTGTTCAACAAATTTATTGATTAACTATAGCATTACAAGAATTTCAGAAACTTAAATATGTTTATACGAATATGCGAAGGTTGTTAATTTCAGATTTTTAATCTTTTTAATCTTCTAAACTAACAAGATTTACTAATTTGAATTTCATTAAAGAATTATTAATTTATTTCGGAGAAGGCGAGAAATCATCCCTTCAAAAGATTTTAAATTATTTGACGCTATTGTTTTTAAAATTTCCTATAATATAGTAAAAAGAGAGAATATTGTTTTATATATAAAAAAAATATTATACATTAAAAATACAATAACAAATAATAAGTGTACAGTTAAAAATTTTGCAGAGTTTATGCAGTAAGAGCGACTTAAATTTCATTAATTAAATACCACCGAATGGAATTCAAAACAAAAACAATAATGAAGATACAAAAGAATAAGAGAATAATAAAATTTTTATTTATTCTATTAAAATTGGTATAGAACAAAAAAAAAAAATTATTTTATTAGAACAAGAAAACGGAAAGTTTCATTTAGAAATTTTAATATTAGAGTGTGTATGTGTGTGTATTTTCTATACTTATGCTTGTAATAAATATACATTTATACAAAAATGTACTCAATTATATAATAAAATTATGTATTCCTGTAATGTACAGGGTGATATATATATATATATATATTCATATATATACATTCATATATATATATATTAATATTTAATATTATATAAGTATTTTTGTAGGACCATTTTTTCTTTAATGTTTTTTTTTTTGCAGGAAATCCGGCAAAAAAAAAAAAAAGAGAGACAGCCTAGTCAAAACAAAAATATTAGAAGTTTTATTTATGGTTTTTATTTTAATGAATAAAAAACAAAAAAATATTTTATTTTTTTCTTTTTGATTTCCTCATTTAAGTATTTTATTTTTTTTCGAATAATTTTGATATTAAAATAATTTTAGATTAATTGCATTTATTTTTTTTTATAAAATAAAATTTAATAATTTTAATACTTTTTGTTTTCTAATGAAAGCACAAAATATGAAATAAATTCAATAGTTTCCAAATATTTAACCAAATTTCGATAATTTTTTATTCACAATGAAACTGCACAATTTAGTTGCCATTTTTTTTTATTTTAATTTTCTTTCTTAATTTTGTAAAAAATCTTAAAAACATTAATTAGCCAAACTTATTATAATTATTTTTTTATTTTCTTCTAATTGAATTGAAAATATTTTTTTATTTATTAAAAATTTATTTTCTTTTTTATTATTAATTAAATTTTATAGTTCGACCGCATTTGACAAAAAAGATGCGACTGAAATTTTGTTATTTACTAAAAAAAAAAAAGGAAAAACAAAATATATGACAATATCAAACATAAGAACACAATCAGTGTTGCCACTTTGACCCAAAAACTACCCTATTTGTTCATGTTTGAAATCATTTTAGCTCTGCAGTCAATTTTTTCTTGTACTTAATCGTATTTATATCTTGAAATTTTTCAGACTTCATACAAAAAACGAAACTACAGTAGGCTAGGTTACTTATCTAGTAAACTCAATGACGTAAGAAATTGGTTCATGGTTATCTACAACATTATACACCAATCCTATGCTCCTTCCAGGAGCGAAATAGGATAAAATACAAAAAACTTGTTGGTATACAAAAGACAGTAGTCAGCCCAATATAAAATTTCAATTAAAAAACTTGAATTTTAAATTAATTTTAGAATTAGACTGCAATTTAGAATTAGACAGTGTTTTATCTTCTAAAATTAAGTACTTATATTCCTAGTTTTGGCTTTTTTTACTTAAATATTTGGCCCTGAATGGCAATCCTGTACACAATTACATATTAAATTTTGTATTTTATAATGGAAAAATTTCATATCTCCTCTCTGTAAACATAAATTTTCCTTACTTAATATGTTTATGTACATATATTAGATGAGTGCATGCGCACATATTTTGTTATGATTTGAGAACAAAAATTGAAAAATAGGAAGAACCAGAAAAAGTTGAAAAATCTCCAAATAAGTACAAATATTTTTTTTTTTTTTGTGTTTTTGTAATTTCCAAACAAGGAAAAATAAAAATCTGATATAATAAATCTGTAAAATACAAAAGGGAATAAATGAGGAAAATAAGTAGGAAAAGAAATTTTGTCCTATGGTCCTATATAGTTATTTATGCCTACTTGTTTTGTATTTAGCAAGATTTTGTATTAAATAGCAAGAGAAAACAAAAAAAAAATAACAAACTACCTTAGTACTTTACTAAAACATACTTTTATCCCAAATTCCTATTTTTTTCTATATTTGTTTTTTCATCGATACTTAAATAAAATTTATTATTCAACTAAAGGAGTGGAATATTTAATTTTTTACTTCCGTTTAAATATTAAAATAATTGTAATATGATTCAATAGACTTTTGGTATTTACTTATCCCTAATAATTTTGTTAACAATCACATTTTAGATAAAAATATAATTAAGATCTATGAAAATATAGGAGAATTGTTGATAAATAATAATAATTATAATTTTATTTAAAAAAAATATATATATATATAGATACATATGTAAGTAGAACTATATTATTTGCGCATGTAATATCCTACAGGACTAAATTCAAAAATAAAGTTGACGATAAACTTTTACAAAAAAAAAAAAAACAAGTCTCCTACTTAGTCCTTTTGTACAATATTGAATAATTTAAACAGGTAAATAATTAATAACTCTTCTCCAGGCTTTTTAGAATTTAAAATATTTGAAAATTTTCCAAATTTCATTTTCCCCATTTAAAATTTAAATTCTTAAAAATATTATAAAAGAAAATATTGATGCAAAAATTTCTTAATATTGATATAAATCGTATTGAAGCTGTGTAGAGGGGTTTCTTTGATTTTGCTCTTGGTGATATGGATTGGTTGAATCCATTTTTTTGTTTTTCTTTCACGGGGACCGAGGACCTTAGGTCCTTCTAACGTCGACCCGTAAGATCTTTTGTGATTCCTATCCCCATTTACATTAGCCCTACACCTAGACCCCTGAAAAACCGCACTATGGCAACTACATCAAGCTACGAGGTCTTTACCGAGCTATCGAATCCATTTATAGAAGTCCTTTATGAAAGTACGTACCGTTTTTATTCATCAATTTGTCGTGGGTAACATGATTGCCACGGTTTTATTAGATCAAATTTCTTATAGCGAGAATTCCAATAATTTAAGGTCGGTTGAGCTTTTCAATATTACTTTTCATACAAATATACATACATTCATATGAACATACTTATAGTAAATTGGAAACACCTAGATTAAAACATAAATTTTAAAAATGGGTTGAATTTTATTGCTTTATCCTGGTTTAAATTAGAAATTAAGATTCTAAATCTGATAATACAGATATTTTATTTATAACAAAAATTTACTACAAATCTTTAAAATATAAAAATGATTTTAATTAATTGTTACCAAATAAATAATGTCATTTTTTATTAAAAATATTTTTTATTAAAAGTTTTTAAATTATTACGTGAGAATTGTTAGTTTTTATTCTTATTCCTCCAGTATAAATATAAAAAACACCTATAAAATTTATTCTTTTATGCCTTGTAACTAAAAGGATATTGTAAAACTAATTGAGTTCGGGTAAGTACCTATTTAAAATTTATCTATAATCTATTATCTACCCATATTTTGTTAATTGTATCACTTGACTCAATGTGTTGTTATTCAAAAATTTAATTTAGTTTTAATTCCTATACTGAAAACCACAAAATAATTTTTCTATAATATCCCATTATGCGACTGACCATTGATCAACTGATACCATTAACGGAATATGGGTGTATAATTTAAGAAATCTTATTACTTAAAATTTTTAAATACAAAATTGATTAGTAAGAGAATTTATTAATGAGAAAAATGAGATATTATAAAGCACATAGGTAGATACTAGTTAGTTACTCGATTTTAGTAAGCCATTAAAATTCTTCACTTATTTTTTATTAAATTTTAATTAAAAACTTACCTCAATATTTTCATTATCATAATATGATAAAGATTTTTTAGTTAATTCAAACCATCTTTGTTTATAATTAACAGGTGTATAACGTTTTTTATTTTGCGCTCTTTTTATCATAGTACCACTTTTAACAATATCATATAATCTTTCTGCTTGTTTATCCATTTTTAAAAAATATTATACTTAATCAATATTGTTTACTTTTTATAAGATGGTAATAAATTATATTGTTACAATCGAGGACATAGTTGCTTTTTTGTTTTTTCTTTTTTTTTTGCTATTCCTAATATAAAATTAAATATTCGATTAGAATTTGTAATTGAATTCAAGAGTTTTTACTTAAAAATTATTCGTTTTTCTGTTATACATAGCCCTAAGCAATAAACCTTTCTATTTTTAGAATGAAAAGAAGACCTACTCAAATTAGTCAAATATTTATCAATAAAATTTTATAGAATAGAAATTTAACCTATACCTTAGTTACAATGTTTTTCTATTACAAATCTATTTATTCCTTTAAGTTTTAAAATTTTAAATATTAAATTTAATTTAAATGCAAGTATAAGTATCTACATCTATCAAATATATATGTACACTGATTATGATGTATCTTTACAAGTTATCTATCTATACCTATTAAAAATATTTTTACAATACATTTTACAGATAATATGTAAATAACTCTTTTCTTAAATACACATGTATGTATATACAAAAGTATGTAAATTCAAAATGTATTTTAGTAAAACTTATACTGCAAATATATAAATTTGTAATTTGAAAATGGAAACATTAAATGAAGCAAAAATATAAAGATCTTTGTGTAAAAATTTTTAAGCAAGATAAACGCCTACTTACACCAATAAGATCATTCAGTCAGGATAATAACCTTAATAATAAATTGTCAAGGTCATCAACATATAGAGGGTGGAGGAGCAATTTAATTTAAAAATCCAATTTTTATACAAATTATTATTTTAATTAATATAGGAGTGAAAAATGCAATTAAACCAAAGAAAATAATTCTTAATAAAGCTACTTTTTATAAAAGATCTTCCCATAAATTTTTTTTTTATTATTATAAGACCTTATTAAGAGCTTAGTATTAAGTATGTATGTACGTAGTGTTGTGAATTTTATCAAACTTCAAAAATATATATATACATATGTACATATATATACGATATCAATAATATTTAACCATCTTATTAGATAAAAATAATAAAAAAAAAATGCAAAAAAAAAATCTTCTAAACGACTGATACCTTCCTAATGTTGTTTTGAAGCAGAAGGTAAACCAACAAAAAAAAAATGAATTCACAAACTATTCAAAAAACTGAATAACAAAAAATATTTTTGAAAATCGAAAACTGAAAAAATTTATTTTCATGTATCAACCTGTTTGTTTTCTTAGAAATTCCTTTATTATATCCTTTAGCACTCATTCATACATACGTTCGTGTATGCAGATGTGTAAATTTATCTTAATGTTTTTTTTTTAATTTATAAACTTTTCTTATTTCGTTGTACATTTAAAATAATTCTTTACTGATTAAAAAAATTTTAATCTAAAGAATTATTTAAAATATAAAAAAAATGAAATACATTTACAAGATAATAAAATTTTTTTTTTTTTTGTAATTATTTTTGTGCTTCACAATACAACAAGAACTAAACTAACTTAGCTATACGATAAACAATTACCGGACTATTTTGACAACTCAATTCCAAAAACCCAGCCGAAATAAGAGCGCAAATGACATTTTGCAAAAATGCTGCCATATTCAAAAAAAAATATTTTTTTTTTTAGCAGTGTTTACATTGTTTGATTAAAAAAAACATTCGAAAAATAAAATTAACAATGTTTATTGCGTTCCATTTATATATTCTACGCTAGAGTAACAAAATCTAAACTCTGCTGTTCTAACTCGAACAAATGCATTCATCGGAAAAACATAACGTAATTGCGCAGATGATCTACCTGCGAATTATTTCAAGGTACTGTGTATTTGTCAATTTTTGGGTATTTATCAATAGTTTGAGCATGTAAATGGAATACAAATACTATGAATGTTACTTAGTAAGTAAATATAGTAAAGACCAATCCAATCCATTAAATTGTATCTACAAAATAATCTTTTTTAATATTTAAATAAAATGTAATTAAAATCTATTAATAATATTTATGAGCATTTATTTTTATTTTGAATAAAATTAATATTAATTTTTTTTTTTCGAAATGATATGAATAAATATAAATTTTATTATACAGAGCTTTAAAATATTCATTGAAATTATGAAAAAAAAAAAATATTGAATTTCTGGCAATGCTTTCTTTTACATATATGTTTATTGGGTTCGAATTCAAATTATGGCAGCATTCTTTTTTGATACTTCAAAGTGTTGTCATTTGTCAGTTAATATGCACTACCGCCATAACCATACCATGCACTCATGATTTTGACATTTAAGTTAATGTTAAAAGTATTTCTAAGAAGGATATTAATATTGTTTTTTTGAAAGCGGGGGCTACGATAGGTGACAAAATTGTTGTTGTATATTTTGTAAATATTTATGGACGTGGCACAAATTTCTAATTAATTTTGGTAAAAAATATAAATATTAGCTAAACATATCGATAAAAAAAATATTCAATATGTGCATTTTTGCAAAATTACTTGACTTTTCACTTCTTGAGTTGTTTATGTACATTGGATTGACACTTATACCACTTATCATATTTGCAGTAATACAATAATGCTTATTTTAATATTTTATATGTTCAAAAATCATATTATTCTTGTAGGCAACCTTAACGCAGAGAAAAATGACAAAACCGTATCCCATTATAAAAAGACATAAGGAAGAAAAATATTTCTTTAATTCCGAAAGTGATTCTTTAGAAGAATTTCCTTCAATTGAAGATGAACCAACACTTTTTTTGAGTGTAATTATCCCGGCTTATAATGAAGAAGAAAGATGTGAGTTATATTAATTTGTTATTATCTAAGAATGTTAAGAATATTTTTGTATCAGTTAATGTCAATTCTTTTTTTTTAGTACCAAAAATGTTAGACGAATGTTTAGAATTTTTAGAAGAAAAATCAAAAAAATCGTATTTTACATTTGAGGTAATTATTGTAAGTGATGGAAGTACAGATAAAACAGTTAATGTAGGATTAGAATATGCAAAAAAATCTTCCAGTAAACAAATAAGAGTATTGGAATTAAAAGAAAATCGGGGGAAAGGTGGCGCAGTTAGATTGGTATATTAAAACACAATGTTTTAAATATTTAAAAATAAATTCAAAATATGTATATGATTTTAAGGGAATGTTAAGCTCTAGAGGAAAATTTCTTTTATTCGCTGATGCTGACGGCGCAACAAAATTTTCTGAATATAATAAACTAGAAGATCAAATTACACGTTTAGTAGCGAATTGGAAAGAATGTGGTATAGCAATAGGTTCTAGAGCGCATTTAGAGAAAGAAGCTAGCGCACAAAGAAGTATTTTTAGGTCAGTTAATCCATAATTTTCTTATTAAATTTATCAAAAATTTAAATTTTTTAGGCAGTTATTGATGCATGGTTTTCATTTTCTAGTTTGGTTATTTGCTGTTAGAGGAATTCGAGATACCCAATGTGGTTTTAAATTACTGACTAGAGCAGCAGCTAGAAAAATTTTTAATATAATGCATGTTGAAAAATGGTAAGAAATTTGTAGCAAAATTTAAGTGCTAATTCAAAATTGAAATACATTTATTCATTTATTACTTTCATTGACTGAACCTCCCAACACATACGTTTCATTATTGTTCACCATATTTTCAAAAATTTTTAAATTTCAAAAATTTTTTAATTTTTTGACAAAGTAGGGAGTCGTCCAAAATTTCAAAAATTTTTTAATTCTTTGACAAGGTAGGGGGTCGTGCAAAATTTCAAAAATTTTTAATTTTTTGACAAGGTAGGGGGTCGTGCAAAATTTCAAAAAATTTTTAATGACACGGTAGGGAGTCGTGCAAAATTTCAAAAATTTTTTAATGACACGGTAGGGAGTCGTGCAACATTTCAAAAATTTTTAATTTTTTGACAAGGTAGGGGGTCGTGCAAAATTTTAAAAATTTTTTAATTTTTTGACAAGGTAGGAGGTCGTGCAAAATTTCAAAAATTTTTAATTTTTTGACAAGGTAGGGGGTCGTGCAAAATTTTAAAAATTTTTAATTTTTTGACAAGGTAGGGGGTCGTGCAAAATTTTAAAAAATTTTTAATTTTTTGACAAGGTAGGGGGTCATGCAAAATTTTAAAAATTTTTAATTTTTTGACAAGGTAGGGGGTCGTGCAAAATTTCAAAAATTTTTAATTTTTTGACAAGGTAGGGGGTCGTGCAAAATTTCAAAAATTTTTAATATTTTGACAAGGTGGAGGGTCGTGCAAAATTTCAAAAATTTTTAATTTTTTGACAAGGTAGGGGGTCGTGCAAAATTTCAAAATTTTTTCATTTTTTGACAAGGTAGGGAGTCGTGCAAAATTTCAAAAATTTTTTAATTTTTTCACAAGGTAGGGGGTCGTGCAAAATTTCAAAAATTTTTAATATTTTGACAAGGTGGAGGGTCGTGCAAAATTTCAAAAATTTTTAATTTTTTGACAAGGTAGGGGGTCGTGCAAAATTTCAAAAATTTTTAATTTTTTGACAAGGTAGGGGGTCGTGCAAAATTTTAAAAATTTTTTAATTTTTTGACAAGGTAGGGGGTCGTGCAAAATTTCAAAAATTTTTAATTTTTTGACAAGGTAGGGAGTCGTGCAAAATTTCAAAAATTTTTTAATTTTTTGACAAGGTAGGGGGTCGTGCAAAATTTTAAAAATTTTTTAATTTTTTGACAAGGTAGGGGGTCGTGCAAAATTTCAAAAATTTTTAATTTTTTGACAAGGTAGAGGGTCGTGCAAAATTTCAAAATTTTTTAATTTTTTGACAAGGTAGGGGGTCGTGCAAAATTTTAAAAATTTTTTAATTTTTTGACAAGGTAGGGGGTCGTGCAAAATTTTAAAAATTTTTTAATTTTTTGACAAGGTAGGGGGTCGTGCAAAATTTCAAAATTTTTTAATTTTTTGACAAGGTAGGGGGTCGTGCAAAATTTCAAAAATTTTTAATTTTTTGACAAGGTAGGGAGTCGTGCAAAATTTCAAAAATTTTTAATTTTTTGACAAGGTAGGGGGTCGTGCAAAATTTCAAAAATTTTTAATTTTTTGACAAGGTAGAGGGTCGTGCAAAATTTCAAAATTTTTTAATTTTTTGACAAGGTAGGGGGTCGTGCAAAATTTTAAAAATTTTTTAATTTTTTGACAAGGTAGGGGGTCGTGCAAAATTTCAAAAATTTTTAATTTTTTGACAAGGTAGGGAGTCGTGCAAAATTTCAAAAATTTTTTAATTTTTTGACAAGGTAGGGGGTCGTGCAAAATTTTAAAAATTTTTTAATTTTTTGACAAGGTAGGGGGTCGTGCAAAATTTCAAAAATTTTTAATTTTTTGACAAGGTAGGGGGTCGTGCAAAATTTTAAAAAATTTTTAATTTTTTGACAAGGTAGGGGGTCATGCAAAATTTTAAAAATTTTTAATTTTTTGACAAGGTAGGGGGTCGTGCAAAATTTCAAAAATTTTTAATTTTTTGACAAGGTAGGGGGTCGTGCAAAATTTCAAAAATTTTTAATATTTTGACAAGGTGGAGGGTCGTGCAAAATTTCAAAAATTTTTAATTTTTTGACAAGGTAGGGGGTCGTGCAAAATTTCAAAAATTTTTAATTTTTTGACAAGGTAGAGGGTCGTGCAAAATTTCAAAATTTTTTAATTTTTTGACAAGGTAGGGGGTCGTGCAAAATTTTAAAAATTTTTTAATTTTTTGACAAGGTAGGGGGTCGTGCAAAATTTCAAAAATTTTTAATTTTTTGACAAGGTAGGGAGTCGTGCAAAATTTCAAAAATTTTTTAATTTTTTGACAAGGTAGGGGGTCGTGCAAAATTTTAAAAATTTTTTAATTTTTTGACAAGGTAGGGAGTCGTGCAAAATTTCAAAAATTTTTAATTTTTTGACAAGGTAGGGAGTCGTGCAAAATTTCAAAAATTTTTTAATTTTTTCACAAGGTAGGGGGTCGTGCAAAATTTTAAAAATTTTTTAATTTTTTGACAAGGTAGGGGGTCGTGCAAAATTTCAAAATTTTTTAATTTTTTGACAAGGTAGGGGGTCGTGCAAAATTTCAAAATTTTTTAATTTTTTGACAAGGTAGGGGTCGTGCAAAATTTTAAAAATTTTTTAATTTTTTGACAAGGTAGGGGGTCGTGCAAAATTTTAAAAATTTTTTAATCTTTTGACAAGGAGGTCGTGCAAAATTTCAAAAATTTTTAATTTTTTCACAAGGTAGGGGGTCGTGCAAAATTTTAAAAATTTTTAATTTTTTGACAAGGTAGGGGGTCGTGCAAAATTTTAAAAAATTTTTAATTTTTTTGACAAGGTAGGGGGTCGTGCAAAATTTTAAAAATTTTTTAATCTTTTGACAAGGAGGTCGTGCAAAATTTCAAAAATTTTTAATTTTTTCACAAGGTAGGGAGTCGTGCAAAATTTCAAAAATTTTTTAATTTTTTGACAAGGTAGGGGGTCGTGCAAAATTTTAAAAATTTTTTAATTTTTTGACAAGGTAGGGAGTCGTGCAAAATTTCAAAAATTTTTAATTTTTTGACAAGGTAGGGAGTCGTGCAAAATTTCAAAAATTTTTTAATTTTTTGACAAGGTAGGGGGTCGTGCAAAATTTTAAAAATTTTTTAATCTTTTGACAAGGAGGTCGTGCAAAATTTCAAAAATTTTTAATTTTTTCACAAGGTAGGGGGTCATGCAAAATTTTAAAAATTTTTAATTTTTTGACAAGGTAGGGGGTCGTGCAAAATTTCAAAAATTTTTAATTTTTTGACAAGGTAGGGGGTCGTGCAAAATTTCAAAAATTTTTAATATTTTGACAAGGTGGAGGGTCGTGCAAAATTTCAAAAATTTTTAATTTTTTGACAAGGTAGGGGGTCGTGCAAAATTTCAAAATTTTTTCATTTTTTGACAAGGTAGGGAGTCGTGCAAAATTTCAAAAATTTTTTAATTTTTTCACAAGGTAGGGGGTCGTGCAAAATTTTAAAAATTTTTAATTTTTTGACAAGGTAGGGGGTCGTGCAAAATTTCAAAAATTTTTAATTTTTTGACAAGGTAGAGGGTCGTGCAAAATTTCAAAATTTTTTAATTTTTTGACAAGGTAGGGGGTCGTGCAAAATTTTAAAAATTTTTTAATTTTTTGACAAGGTAGGGGGTCGTGCAAAATTTCAAAAATTTTTAATTTTTTGACAAGGTAGGGAGTCGTGCAAAATTTCAAAAATTTTTTAATTTTTTGACAAGGTAGGGGGTCGTGCAAAATTTTAAAAATTTTTTAATTTTTTGACAAGGTAGGGGGTCGTGCAAAATTTCAAAAATTTTTAATTTTTTGACAAGGTAGGGAGTCGTGCAAAATTTCAAAAATTTTTTAATTTTTTCACAAGGTAGGGGGTCGTGCAAAATTTTAAAAATTTTTTAATTTTTTGACAAGGTAGGGGGTCGTGCAAAATTTCAAAATTTTTTAATTTTTTGACAAGGTAGGGGGTCGTGCAAAATTTCAAAATTTTTTAATTTTTTGACAAGGTAGGGGTCGTGCAAAATTTTAAAAATTTTTTAATTTTTTGACAAGGTAGGGGGTCGTGCAAAATTTCAAAATTTTTTCATTTTTTGACAAGGTAGGGAGTCGTGCAAAATTTCAAAAATTTTTTAATTTTTTCACAAGGTAGGGGGTCGTGCAAAATTTTAAAAATTTTTTAATTTTTTGACAAGGTAGGGGGTCGTGCAAAATTTTAAAAATTTTTTAATTTTTTGACAAGGTAGGGGGTCGTGCAAAATTTTAAAAATTTTTTAATTTTTTGACAAGGTAGGGGGTCGTGCAAAATTTCAAAAATTTTTAATTTTTTGACAAGGTAGGGGGTCGTGCAAAATTTTAAAAAATTTTTAATTTTTTGACAAGGTAGAGGGTCGTGCAAAATTTTAAAAATTTTTTAATTTTTTGACAAGGTAGGGAGGGGGTCGTGCAAAATTTCAAAAATTTTTAATTTTTTGACAAGGTAGGGGGTCGTGCAAAATTTTAAAAATTTTTTAATTTTTTCACAAGGTAGGGGGTCGTGCAAAATTTTAAAAAATTTTTAATTTTTTGACAAGGTTGGGGGTCGTGCAAAATTTCAAAAATTTTTTAATTTTTTGACAAGGTAAAGGGTCGTGCAAAATTTCAAAACTTTTTAATTTTTTGACAAGGTGGAGGGTCGTGCAAAATTTCAAAATTTTTTAATTTTTTGACAAGGTAGGGGGTCGTGCAAAATTTTAAAAATTTTTAATTTTTTGACAAGGTAGGGGGTCGTGCAAAATTTTAAAAAATTTTTAATTTTTTGACAAGGTAGGGGGTCGTGCAAAATTTCAAAAATTTTTAATTTTTTGACAAGGTAGGGGGTCGTGCAAAATTTTAAAAATTTTTAATTTTTTGACAAGGTAAAGGGTCGTGCAAAATTTCAAAACTTTTTAATTTTTTGACAAGGTGGAGGGTCGTGCAAAATTTCAAAATTTTTTAATTTTTTGACAAGGTAGGGGGTCGTGCAAAATTTTAAAAAT